AGTTGCATAATTCACCTCAGTGATGTAAACAGCACGCTCTTGCGTAACGTGTAACGTACAAGATTTTACCTGACCCGACAATAAACATGGGTTTACGTACAATATTTTTCATTATCCATTTCACTCATCTTCTATCAGTAACGTTCTTTTACTAACAAAAGGTAGGTTAGGTAGGAAAATACTTTAAAGCATAATAGGCCTAATAACATTCAAGCGCACAGCTGATTTCTAGCGTTGAACATCGTTGGCTCCATAGAGTTATATTTTTTAAGCTAAGCACTCAATGTTATTTAAATGGGTTTCTTTACATCACCGAGTGAGTTTTTGATACTTTACATCACTCGAGAAGTAAGGAAGTTGTATACATCACGCTAGGGATAGGGAAGTTTAACATGGCGGGTTAGGTAAAATCAATTTAAATTATTATTTACTACACAAATTATTTGTAATGTAAAACATTGTTCACCACTCGGAGCAATAGTATATTATTTATGGTACTTAAATTGTTTTATAGTACGTGGCAGTATAGTATTATTAGTTTATTAGTTGCTTGTTGCACTGTTCTACACACTGCTCAAGCTCTACAACTCATTAAGTGGCATCCTGTCCACACACTGTTGATATATACTGAATTGTGGCATGGTGCCACTATTTCGAGTGTAGGCTGGCGCGAGAATTGGCAACGTAGCATTAGGAAAGTTATAGTTCCGGCGGACGGCGCGAGGCGCGCTAGCTACCTGTATGGTTTCCCCCACAATTCGGTGTGTACCTGCGCTACTTAAACTCACATCAACGAGTTCAAAAATACTCAATGGCATGTGATGTTTAAACGACGTAATAATGCTGGAAAACCTCAAAAATGATCGAATTAGCTGTGGCACCCTGAAAAAGGTGCCACAATTTTTGAAGGTGCCACAGTACGGCCGTGTGCCTGTGAAGGATGCCACTATTCGGTGAATACAAACACACACACACACAATCTCATTTTTATATATTAGTATAGATTTACTAATATTACTGCCCCACTGTGCAGTTGCGAGCCCTGCATCACCTGGTCGTGGAAGAGACCTACATAAAAGGATTGGCAGAGCTGGAGGGGGTAGGGGTGTGGGTGTGAGGCAGCTCAGCTGGTCTCTTATTTTATAAGACAATTTACTAATAGTTGCGAGCCCTGCATCACCTAGTGGTGGAAGAGAGCCACACAAAAGGAGTGGCAGAGCTGGAGGGGGTAGGGGTGTGGGTGTGAGGCAGCTCAGCTGGTCTCTTATTTTATAAGATAATTTGCTAATATTACTTCTCCACTGTATAGTTGCGAGCCCTGCATCATTTGGTGGTGGAAGAGAGCCACACAAAAGGATTGGTAGAGCTGGAGGGGGTAGGTGTGTGGGTGGGAGGCAGCTCAGCTGGTCTCTTATTTTATAAGAGAATTTACTAATATTACTGCTTCACTGTGTAGTTGCGAGCCCTGCATCACCTGATGGTGGAAGAGAGCCACAAAATAGGATTGGCAGAGCTGGAGGGGGTAGGGGTGTGGGTGTGAGGCAGCTCAGCTGGTCTCTTATTAGAGAATTTACTAAAATTACTGCTTCACTGTGTAGTTGCGAGCCCTGCATCATCTGGTGGTGGAAGGGAGCCACAAAATAGGATTGGCAGAGCTGGAGGGGGTAGGGGTGTGGGTGTGAGGCAGCTCAGCTGGTCTCTTATTAGAGAATTTACTAATATTAATGCTCCATTGTGTAGTTGCGAGCCCTGCATCACCTGGTGGTGGAAGAGAGCCACAAAATAGGATTGGTAGAGCTGGAGGGGGTAGGGGTGTGGGTGTGAGGCAGCTCAGCTGGTCTCTTATTAGAGAATTTACTAATATTAATGCTCCATTGTGTAGTTGCGAGCCCTGCATCATCTGGTGGTGGAAGAGAGCCACAAAATAGGATTGGCAGAGCTGGAGGGGGTAGGGGTGTGGGTGTGAGGCAGCTCAGCTGGTCTCTTATTAGAGAATTTACTAATATTAATGCTCCATTGTGTAGTTGCGAGCCCTGCATCATCTGGTGGTGGAAGAGAGCCACAAAATAGGATTGGCAGAGCTGGAGGGGGTAGGGGTGTGGGTGTGAGGCAGCTCAGCTGGTCTCTTATTAGAGAATTTACTAATATTAATGCTCCATTGTGTAGTTGCGAGCCCTGCATCATCTGGTGGTGGAAGAGAGCCACAAAATAGGATTGGCAGAGCTGGAGGGGGTAGGGGTGTGGGTGTGAGGCAGCTCAGCTGGTCTCTTATTAGAGAATTTACTAATATTAATGCTCCATTGTGTAGTTGCGAGCCCTGCATCATCTGGTGGTGGAAGAGAGCCACAAAATAGGATTGGCAGAGCTGGAGGGGGTAGGGGTGTGGGTGTGAGGCAGCTCAGCTGGTCTCTTATTAGAGAATTTACTAATATTAATGCTCCATTGTGTAGTTGCGAGCCCTGCATCATCTGGTGGTGGAAGGGAGCCACAAAATAGGATTGGCAGAGCTGGAGGGGGTAGGGGTGTGGGTGTGAGGCAGCTCAGCTGGTCTCTTATTAGAGAATTTACTAATATTAATGCTCCATTGTGTAGTTGCGAGCCCTGCATCATCTGGTGGTGGAAGAGAGCCACAAAATAGGATTGGCAGAGCTGGAGGGGGTAGGGGTGTGGGTGTGAGGCAGCTCAGCTGGTCTCTTATTAGAGAATTTACTAATATTAATGCTCCATTGTGTAGTTGCGAGCCCTGCATCATCTGGTGGTGGAAGAGAGCCACAAAATAGGATTGGCAGAGCTGGAGGGGGTAGGGGTGTGGGTGTGAGGCAGCTCAGCTGGTCTCTTATTAGAGAATTTACTAATATTAATGCTCCATTGTGTAGTTGCGAGCCCTGCATCATCTGGTGGTGGAAGAGAGCCACAAAATAGGATTGGCAGAGCTGGAGGGGGTAGGGGTGTGGGTGTGAGGCAGCTCAGCTGGTCTCTTATTAGAGAATTTACTAATATTAATGCTCCATTGTGTAGTTGCGAGCCCTGCATCATCTGGTGGTGGAAGGGAGCCACAAAATAGGATTGGCAGAGCTGGAGGGGGTAGGGGTGTGGGTGTGAGGCAGCTCAGCTGGTCTCTTATTAGAGAATTTACTAATATTAATGCTCCATTGTGTAGTTGCGAGCCCTGCATCATCTGGTGGTGGAAGAGAGCCACAAAATAGGATTGGCAGAGCTGGAGGGGGTAGGGGTGTGGGTGTGAGGCAGCTCAGCTGGTCTCTTATTAGAGAATTTACTAATATTAATGCTCCATTGTGTAGTTGCGAGCCCTGCATCATCTGGTGGTGGAAGAGAGCCACAAAATAGGATTGGCAGAGCTGGAGGGGGTAGGGGTGTGGGTGTGAGGCAGCTCAGCTGGTCTCTTATTAGAGAATTTACTAATATTAATGCTCCATTGTGTAGTTGCGAGCCCTGCATCATCTGGTGGTGGAAGGGAGCCACAAAATAGGATTGGCAGAGCTGGAGGGGGTAGGGGTGTGGGTGTGAGGCAGCTCAGCTGGTCTCTTATTAGAGAATTTACTAATATTAATGCTCCATTGTGTAGTTGCGAGCCCTGCATCATCTGGTGGTGGAAGGGAGCCACAAAATAGGATTGGCAGAGCTGGAGGGGGTAGGGGTGTGGGTGTGAGGCAGCTCAGCTGGTCTCTTATTAGAGAATTTACTAATATTAATGCTCCATTGTGTAGTTGCGAGCCCTGCATCATCTGGTGGTGGAAGGGAGCCACAAAATAGGATTGGCAGAGCTGGAGGGGGTAGGGGTGTGGGTGTGAGGCAGCTCAGCTGGTCTCTTATTAGAGAATTTACTAATATTAATGCTCCATTGTGTAGTTGCGAGCCCTGCATCATCTGGTGGTGGAAGAGAGCCACAAAATAGGATTGGCAGAGCTGGAGGGGGTAGGTGTGGGTGTGAGGCAGCTCAGCTGGTCTCTTATTAGAGAATTTACTAATATTAATGCTCCATTGTGTAGTTGCGAGCCCTGCATCATCTGGTGGTGGAAGAGAGCCACAAAATAGGATTGGCAGAGCTGGAGGGGGTAGGGGTGGGTGTGAGGCAGCTCAGCTGGTCTCTTATTAGAGAATTTACTAATATTAATGCTCCATTGTGTAGTTGCGAGCCCTGCATCATCTGGTGGTGGAAGAGAGCCACAAAATAGGATTGGCAGAGCTGGAGGGGGTAGGGGTGTGGGTGTGAGGCAGCTCAGCTGGTCTCTTATTAGAGAATTTACTAATATTAATGCTCCATTGTGTAGTTGCGAGCCCTGCATCATCTGGTGGTGGAAGGGAGCCACAAAATAGGATTGGCAGAGCTGGAGGGGGTAGGGGTGTGGGTGTGAGGCAGCTCAGCTGGTCTCTTATTAGAGAATTTACTAATATTAATGCTCCATTGTGTAGTTGCGAGCCCTGCATCATCTGGTGGTGGAAGAGAGCCACAAAATAGGATTGGCAGAGCTGGAGGGGGTAGGGGTGTGGGTGTGAGGCAGCTCAGCTGGTCTCTTATTAGAGAATTTACTAATATTAATGCTCCATTGTGTAGTTGCGAGCCCTGCATCATCTGGTGGTGGAAGAGAGCCACAAAATAGGATTGGCAGAGCTGGAGGGGGTAGGGGTGTGGGTGTGAGGCAGCTCAGCTGGTCTCTTATTAGAGAATTTACTAATATTAATGCTCCATTGTGTAGTTGCGAGCCCTGCATCATCTGGTGGTGGAAGGGAGCCACAAAATAGGATTGGCAGAGCTGGAGGGGGTAGGGGTGTGGGTGTGAGGCAGCTCAGCTGGTCTCTTATTAGAGAATTTACTAATATTAATGCTCCATTGTGTAGTTGCGAGCCCTGCATCATCTGGTGGTGGAAGAGAGCCACAAAATAGGATTGGCAGAGCTGGAGGGGGTAGGTGTGGGTGTGAGGCAGCTCAGCTGGTCTCTTATTAGAGAATTTACTAATATTAATGCTCCATTGTGTAGTTGCGAGCCCTGCATCATCTGGTGGTGGAAGGGAGCCACACAGAAGGGTTGGTAGCACTGCGCAGGTACAGGGCAGAGCTGGAGGTAGTAGGGGGTGAGGAAGCACTGGTTTCTGCAGCTCAGCTGTTCTCTCGCATCTGTAGTCGTCACTCACAACTGCTAGTTGAGACCTCGGCAATGGCAGAAAAGTAAGAAACACATACTTCCTTTATTTGAAATAATATTTTGAATCATAGTTTAGGTGTGCAGGTGGTGAAATTTCAGTTCAGGTTGGTAAATTTAACCTCCAAGTATCTTTGATAATGGTCTTAATGTTTGTCTTTTTTAGCGAATCTTCCAATGGGGAAGTAGCTATTATTGTAGGTGGCACAGATCTAGGCCCGGGACTGATTTACTTTTTCTTTTTGATGTCGCCAGAGGCCAAAAACAGCATTCGTTAAAATTTTTTATATATGTGTATATAGGCTTGAAAAAATAAATGTCTAAATTGTCCCAAATTCTATATTGGTCAGACTGGAAGAGCATTTTCATGCATATTCAAAGAACATATCCAAGCCGCAAAATCAAACAATCAAACATCCCAACGCTCAATGTATGCAGAACACATATTAGGGTACGTCCACAATGCACGCTGGTTTTCTGAGTCAGACTGTCGGCGCCGATTAAGTCAGACTCGGCGCGCTTACCGTCCCAAGCTAGTAAACGTAAGCGACCATAGTGCACCTGCGCGCCGATTTTCTGCGCTCAGGTAGTCTGACTCCGATTTTTACCGGAATGAATTGTTCATTCTGGTTTCCGACAACCTGCTTTTCGGACTGTTGATTTTTGTTTTTGTATTAAGTGTATAAGTGTTTCATTACATTAACCATGGATATCGACCAATTGCTATCAAAAGTTCAACACATTCCAGCAAATAGCAATATAAGCACATTAAAGTGCATTTTTTTTTAATATGGCAACATTGTACGTTAAATTTATCTGCTGGTTTAATTAAATTGTTTTTAATATTGCATTTTTACAAAATAAACCATTTAACTTACTTAAATAAATTTATTTACCTCAGCGGGATATGCAAATTCAATGTTTTGTGATATTTTCCCCAATTTTGGCGAGCTTGTGCTAGATTTTTATGAGGATTAAATAAAAGGTGTGCAAGCTCATTCTGAAATATTGAAAAACCCTGTTGTCGTCTGCAAGAAGTTGCGGGAATATATGTATGTATCCCTTAAATAGGTCTCAACACAGACAGGTACAGCTTACAACCTGCTTGCATTATGGCCACCCCACCGGAGTCAGGCACTCGGCGCCGAAAATCTGAATCTGACTTCCTGCTTATACCAGCGTGCATTGTGGACGTACCCTTAGAAAATACTCATAATTATGGCAAATTAGAAGAATGTGTCAAAATTCTAAATTATGAGAAAAAGGGTGAAAAAATGGATAGCGTCATTCGCCTATTGGGTCTGATGATGATTGGAGTGTCCAATCGAAATCAATCACCACTTACCACCTTTTTTGTATATTTACCGTCTTGTGAGTAACAGTATAAGCGTAAATATATGTTTTAAGTGTTATAAGACGTTTCTTTTATTTACTTTCCGTAAAAAATGGATATAAAAGAAGAACTGCAAATATACCTACACTCAAAAGAACACGGCGACCAAATTCTCAATGTAATGCAAAAATAAAAACAATATCCAATACATGAAAAAATCTGACAAATCAGGGAAGAATCTGACAGATTCACATGTTAAAAAATACATCTAACCATTTAATCAAAATTTACTATGAACTCAAAACATATGTTATTAACTATTTATTTATTTTATTTCTTTACCTACATACTTTTATATAACAACTCATACTGTGATCATGGCCTTAGTGCCGAAATACGTATCAGTTTAAATAAAAATGAATTTCAGGATACTCTGGTTTTTATTATTTCGCTTATTAATATATATATATATATTTGTATATATAGATCTGATTTATATACATACTAGCAGAGTACCCGTCCTTCGTACGGGGTTGGCGTACAAGTATAATATTCCGGCTGCAGCATACCTGCAGACTAAGCGAATTTCCATTTGCCTAATTGGATTTACACTAAAATGTCTCCTTAAAAAAATCACATTAATTCCCTATTTAAATAGCATTAGTTTAAGTTTTTTGGTAAAATTTTAATAGTTTAGTATGAAATAAATGCATTTTACAAATGTGATCAAAATATGCTCATAAACAAGCAAATAACAACAGTTTACTTATTCTCCATAAGAATCACATGGTATTTTAAATTTAAATTTTTTTTAATTTTTCCCGTAACCATTAGGCTAGGCGCATAATAATGCTCCAATATACAATTATTTGTTTTTTTAAGCTCTACAAAATGGTTTGGAAAGCAATTGCTAATTTTTTTTATTTTTAGGGTAAAAAATAAGAAAAACCAATTTTTACCCCATAAAACTCCCCATAAACCCCCGTTCCCATGGTCCGATCATGCTGGTTCGTGAACTCGTTTGAATAAATGTAGGTTTACACGTTTGTAATTTGCTCGAGTTATCGTGCTAAGGGACACACACACATATATATAAACTAGCAGAGCACCCGTCCTTCGTACGGGGTTGGCATATAAGTGTAACATGCTTATTGCAGTTATACTCAAGCTTTGCGTTTGCAATGGGGGGAGGACACAGTTTGATAAAATGTGGTTCATAAATTTATGGTATGATATAGTATAACACATTTACCATTGCCATAATGTTCTACCATTGCACCTAAACAATAAAAGAAAATTATCAAACATTCGCACAATATCACAAATTATTCATTAAATTAAAAACTGAAACCTAACTGTAAACAATCCTACTTTGACAGTTCTCATTGTGTATCACAGCTTTTTGTTGCTGCTTAGTTCAAATTAGCTGTTGTCATATATACACAAACAAAATAATAATAGTGCTGCACCCTGTTGGGAAACCTTATAACTTTTTAATGCTATTGCATATTATAGAAACAACTTGTAAAGTTGAAACAGCTGACTAAATTCTTTAATTCCCTTTAAATATGAACTAGTGTACCTGTTGCTCGAATTCGAGCAATTGAGAAGCATTACAGGCGACTCAAAGATTATGGAAATACTCACGATCTACACAACAGTTAGATATAATCAAAATTTTTTGTAAATAGCTTATCTTTTTTCAAAAAGCTGATCTCTTGTTTAATTGAAACAGCTGTTAAGATTCAATAATTCCATTTTTCATAAGGTTAACATGGGAAACTCCAGAGCCACTGGGGCGGAGCCCAAAAGGATTTTTGAAATAAGAATATGCCTATATGTTAATCGGGAATGTGAGCTATCATCATGCCAAATTTCAGCCCAATCCGACCAGTATTTTTCGCGTTCACTTGTCACAAACATACATCCATACATCCATCCATACATCCAAACTTTCTCGTTTATAATATTAGTAGGATATATATATATATGTTTGGCAGTGATAAACTCAGACACCGCTGAACCGATTGCCACGAAACTTGGTACATACGTGTAGAATTTCATGGAATAGGTTTATACACCATCAATTTCGTGATCCGTCCAATCGGCTCCGCCCCAGTGGCTCTTGAGTTTCCCATGTTAACCTTATGAGAAATGGAATTAATGAATCTTAACAGCTGTTTCAATTAAACAAGTTGGTTATGTTCTATGATGTTCAATAGCATTAAAGTTACAAGGATTACCAACAGGGTGCAGCACTATTATTTCTTTTACATTAATGACACAGCTAATTTGCAACCAAAAGGTGAGTGAGCGTAGCGAACGAACTTCAACCTGGAGGCCAGTTAGCGTAGCGAACGAGCTAACCTGAAGGCAAGTGAGCGCAGCGAACGAGCTCCAACCTAAAGGTGAGTGAGCGTAGCGAACGAACTTCAACCAGGACGTGATTGAGCCATGGGAACGAGATCATCTTGAAAATTAAGAAGTTAAACGGGGCAAAGCCCGCAGGTTACAGCTAGTAGATTATAAAGTATACAATGGTGTAAACAACCATTTTTTATGTTTACGCTTTATTAAATTATAAAAGGCGTATGCTTATAATACTGTTTAAATAGCCAATTCCCTCCTAATATTATAGGGATACCAAATATAAAAACATAAAGAAGTAAAGTCACAATTACAAAAATTATAGATGGATAACTGGCGTTGTACGCTATGGCAAATGAGCAAAATCGGCTTGACAACTTAACAGTCTTTTTTAAGAGTTGTTAGCCTCCGGATTACGTTTGAATATTTATAATGGTTTAAATACCTGCATTCAGTAATCCATTATGCTGCTTGTGGCAACTATAGTTTCGGTTCACACGGAACCATCTTCAGGCCGTACAAGGCGTCGTTATTCACTTCCATATATGAAGGTCGTCATAAGTACATAAAACACGAACACACGAAAACACACATTGACACGAACATTTAACATTAAAAATACCGAGTACTCGGGAACACGAGACAGGTGACGCGACCGGGTGGAAGTTGTAGCTCGAACTGGTGGTCAGTGGTCTAACGGTATGACGTCAGCCATTGTCTCCTTATCACTGCCGGCTCGCATTCATTCCTTCTCTCCTCCTCCCCCATCCAGTATTTTGATTGCGGTGTTATAAATGGAATTCGATTGGAATGAGAGTTTGTCATTTAAAACATTTTGACCATCTGTTTTGACTGCCTTGTATATTTCAAATTCTTCATAAGTGTTAATGGTTGATCGGTCTTGGGAAAGATGTAAAACGTCCATATTACTATTTATGTTTACATAGTTGTGGTTGAGTGAAATAAAATGCTCTGCGAAATTTGAAGTTTGTGGGCCTGTAGTTTTCTTGGGGATATGTTCTCTGAACCTCTTCTTGAAGGAGCGTGAAGTCTGTCCGATGTAATATTTTGGGCAATCGCTACAGTTTAATTTGTAAACCCCAGACTTGTCATAAACAGTGGAATTCGTTTGTTGCCGCTCTTTCAATAAGGATCCGAGCTTGTTTGTAGTTTTAAATGAAACTGTTATATTATTTCTGGTCATGACATTTTTAAAAGTGTGGCTTAATGACGAACCATACTTAGCAGAGATATAATGTTTCTGATTAGGGGCTTTAGAGGTTTTATTTGAGTGTTTGTAAATTAAATTGTCTATTAAACTGCTGT